ATGCACTGTAGTATAGTTGGGTTGGTTGGGCCTGTTCAACGTGGTGTAGCGTTGATCAGTGGAGATCTAATTTACTTTAATTACCCAACCGTTTTACTGTTTGCTAAATAAAATGTTTTCCAACCGCCTTTATGCAAATAGCCACAAACCCCTCCTTGTATTCCTTTGCACGTCTGCATCATTGGTGTGGCTTGCTGAGTACGGTGGTTGTACTCAGTCTTGCTATTATTCCCCCTTTTCAGAAGTGTAGTGCTTCTGAGCTGAAGATGAAGTTAGAAGACCAAGGCTCAGACCCCAGTTGAGTTTTGCCTGTGGAGTGGAGCTGAAGCCCCGCTAGGATCGCCTTTTTCCGCTGCTGCTGCTTTTGTTTCGGTGTGAGGACTAAGTGCCTCTTCTGTAAGTATTTTACGCTTTATTTACGTTTGGAACTGTTTATTACTTGTCGTTTTGTGTACCCTGGCTGGTCCTGGACAGGGATTTAATACACAAAATAGTCTGGAAATTTGGGCTAAATTTCTGGGCGTGACAATTGATTCCTCTTCAATTCCCCCCAATTTCCCCCTTGAATGCCGCCCCCAATCGCCGGGAACGCCGCGCCTTCCTCGGCTGCCTTCCATGGCCGCCGGCCGCCTTTACCGCCGCCGTTCCGACCTCCCCCGTGGCCGGCTCCCTCTCCTCTCCTATAAAATGCAACCCCCTCGCTCCGTTCTATCGCTTTAGCTCCCTCCCGCGGTCTCCCGTGGTCCCTAGCCACCTCCCCACCGTCGCCCTCCCTCTCCCGTGCCGCTGGACGCCTCCAGCCGCCGGTGCCGCCTCGACCGTGCGCCGGCCGGCCGCGCCGTCGCCTCCTCCAGCGTCGCCGCTACCTCCTCCACCCCGGCCTACCCTCCGTTTCGCGCGGTGACCGCCGGAGGCGCGTTCCCGCCGTCGCCCTTCCCTTTCCTCCGCGCCGGCCGCCTCCAGCCGCCTGTGCCGCCTCGCCCGAGCGCCGGCCGGTCGCGCCGTCGCCTCCTCCAGCACCGCAGCCGCCTCCTCTTCGCCGGCCTACCCTCTGTTTCCCGCGGAGACCTCCGGAAGTGCCTCCCCGCCGGCAACCGTGGTGTTGCCGCCACGATTTCGCCTCCGGCCGCCTCTGCCGCGTCCCCGGTGCGCCGGCCGACGTCGCCACCACCTCTCCCGGCACCGGAGTGCCGTCCTCTCTCCCGGCCAGGCCACGGCGTCGCCCGAATTTCGCCGGAACGCCGTCATCTCCGCGCCGGCCTCTCCTTCCTCCTCGTCGGCTCGTCGCCCCGCTGCACCACCTCCTTCACCAACATCGCAGCGGCGTGTTCCACGCTGTCCCCTCCTCCGCGCAGCCGCTGCTGGCTGCCATCGTCGTTTCCTTGTCACCGTTCGTCCTCGCCGATCGACGTCCCATCGGTTGCCCGGCTCGTCGTCTCGCGGCGCCGCCTCCGTCATCGTCATCGTAGCGGCGTGTTCCACGTCGTCCTCGTCCCCGTGCAGCTGCTGCTGGCTGTCCCTCGTCGCCCCCTCGCCGGCCCCGGTCGTCGTCGTCCTCGTCCTCTCGTCGTTCCCGATCGTCGTGGCGTTCGTCCCTCCGTCGAGCCGTTCTCGTCCGTCGTCCGCGTTCGTCAAGCGAGCCGCTGCAGCCCCGTCATCGTCTTCGTCCTCGGCTCCGCGTCGTCAAGCCTCGTGCCGGCCACGTCTCGCCTTCGTCCAAGGATCGCCGCCGAAGCCGTCCCCTCGCCGTTCGTCTCCGTTGTGCCCGTCTGTCTCCGCCGCGCCCGTTCGTCGTTGTCGTTCCCGCGCCTCGTCGCGTGGTGGTAAGGATCCCTCTCCCTCGCTGCCCCGTCCTCGTCCTTTCGGTGTCGCCCGTGCTCGTTGTGCGGTCGTCGACCCCGGTACCCGTGTACCGGTGTCGGTAATCGTTCACGTGTGCGGGTGGTGACCGTGTAGTGTCCGTGTTAGTGTGCCCGCTCGGTAGCCGCGTGGTTTCCACGTGTGCAGGCCGTGTGGTGTTTAGTGGAGTCCGTTTGTCGGCCACTCGCCTCGGTTGACACACGGGGTCTGCTTCCGTCGACCCGGGGACCGCCTCTGTGTACTCGGTCTACCGCGGTCCTTTAGGTTGACATGTGGGGTCCGCATGTCAACGGCGCAGCCTTCCTGTCTTTTCCAGGCTAGCGCTTACACATGTTTTATAATTGCAAAGCTTAATTATAATAATCCGCAAATCTCCATATAACAGCATTAAACTTCGGATGATCATATCTTGGTCATACGAGCTCCGAATCGATCCGTTCAAGTCTCCTAATGTTTGTTATAACCTAAAGAACCCTGTGCTTTGTTTTTATGTATTGTTATTGCTTCTTTATAGGCTTGTAGCTTTGCTTGTGTGCTTCGCGTAGCTTCTGTCGTTCCGGAGGTTCCCGAAGCGTGGTTCGCGGTCGTCGCCGAAGGTTCGGAAGTCCGTTCTCTCTGAGCAAGGCAAGTCACATCATCCTTGAGCATATTGAATCCCAGTTTATAAAATTATTTTGATTTAAATTAATGCATTACCGCTTTATTTAAATTCCCGCGTTATCACTGTTTTATTTAGCCATGCCTATTTACCTTTGTTATGACCTTAATATTATTGTTATTGATATTATTACCTTGTTCACCCTAGATTAAACAAAACCCCAACTAGTGGACACTCTACTCATGGTTCCACTAGTACGAATTTAGGTAGGTGCTTCGCTGATTAATTAGGCAACATTAGGTGGTTTTATAACTTTAGACTTTGGGAATTCTCATATCATTTGGACACTATGGAATTGTTGGTTTATGGTGGAATTGGACATACACCTCTCTTCCCCTTTCAAAACCCCTAAAACCTGTTTTCGGTGGGGTTTGGGTGCATGCCAGTTGTGGGAAGTAGCACCCCGGCCACTATAAGGATTAAGCTCGGGCCTCTGTTGCAAAGCACTACCGTACTTCCACATGTCTAGTGGGTAAGGCTTAGTTTGTGGCTCAGTCTGGTTATAAACAAAAGTACACGGATTGGAGATGGATGAAGTCGGGGGTCGATGGACATTCTCCAGGGCAAATGAAGGCTACACGAGCTGCGGCCCGGTAGTCGAGATGTCGTGGCAGAGGGTTGGTGCCCTGCTGCTTGGGACTCAGTCCTGCCTGCCTGTCCCGGGGGTTCCGGCCGTAGGCAGGATTGGGTCGGTACTCTTGTCTATGGCTAGGATGGGTTGGAAACTATGTCACGTCTTCCGTCCGTATACCGTGGTGGTATGTGGCACGTGGTTACACGTGAGGAAGATGTGTCTTGTGGGTAAAGATGTACACCTCTGATCAGAGTATAATCTATTCGAATAGCCGCGCCCTCGGTTATGGGCAAGCCGAGCAATGTACCCAAGTCAGTGTTTTAATTCTTAAAATTTGCTCAACAACTAAAATGTGGAATGGTTGGCCTGGGTTGGCTTGGGACGAGCTGGGACCCAGGGTCGGGTTGCCAGTTCGGTCTGAATCATCGTAGGCCTTGGGTTAAGGCAGGTTCGTGTGGGTTCACGGCCTTGATTAATAATACTGTGTAGCTCTAGGATCGTCTTTATAAATGGCTTTGGGCAACTAAGTGACTTTTAAATGCGGTTTACTGCAAAACTTAACCCCTATATTATTATCCCCTTGTACTCCTTTGCATTAATTGTGCATCTCCGGTGTGGCCTGCTGAGTACTGTGGTTGTACTCATTCTTGCTCAATCTTTCCCCTCTTCAGTAAGAGAAGCGTTGGAGAAGATGTCTTAGGTGGAGTCCTGGCTTATACCCCAGTTGAGCGCCTGTGAAGATGGAGCCGTAGGCCCGCTAGTCCGCTGCTGTTTATTTTTGATTGTCCGGCCTGAAGCGCCTTTGTAATAATGTAAATATTATCGATGTAATAAAGATGTGTCTTTTATATCATGTTTGTATGGTGTACCCCGGCTTTTCCTGGGACGGGGATTAATACACTAGCGTTCGGGAAAAGGCAATTTTCCCGGTCGCGACAATCTCCACCGCTAACCCGAACCGCGGTCACTGGTTGTTGCCTTCAAAAGCTTGTCACTGGAGCTTGGATCCGCTCCTCGTTACACTATCATCTCCCTCAGCTTTGCCGTGCCGTGCCGCAGCTCAGCTATCGGGTTCGTGACGCATGTTCACACCGGGATCCCGTTCATCGCACAAGGTCGAGGGGAAGCCCGTTTGTCTCTTCCCACTCGCAAAACCATTGTCGGACCACCGCCGTCCCTCGCCGGTTGTGAGCACGGTGAGAATCACCCACCTTCTCGTCTCCCGCTTCCCTTTTTGTGCGGCTGCTGCTCGGCCATCTCTGCCTCGGGCTTTAATATAATTTTTTTAAAGCAACTTTTCTTTATATTTTTTTTAAAAAACACACTATTTATTATTTTGAAAAATATGCATGTGAAAAATATGGAAGAAGTTGGAAAAATGTTCAAAAGAACCCAACCTAAGAAGTTATAGAGTGTATGTTCCTAACCTCTACTTATTTTTCATGTGCAGTTTTCCGAACTACTAAACGATATATTATTTATAAATTTTCTAAAGTAAAGTTATTTTTTTAAAAAAATAATATATTAATCTATTTTTATTTTTTATAATGATACTTAATTAATCATGTGCTAATAATCACCCGTTTACTTATTTTTTATGTGCAGTTTTTCGAACTACTAAATGATATATTATTTATAAATTTTCTAAAGCAAAGTTATTTTTTTAAAAAAAAATCATATATTAATCTATTTTTATTTTTATAATGATACTTAATTAATCATGTGCTAATAATCACCCGTTTTACATGCGCGGGAGAGAAGTTACCAACACTCCCGAACATTGCAGTCATGGAGTAGTAGTTGGGCTCTTCCGGAATTAAGTTGGGCCAAGAAATGGGCCACAAACAGCGAGCCCATCCTAGGGCCCACCTCCATCCCAGGGCCCACCACCCGACAACCACTCCCACTCACACGCACGCGGAGACAAATGCGCCACGCGATCCCCCCCGCCTCCTCCGGCCACCGCCTCACCTCACCGCCGGCGAGACCACCCACCGCCGCCGCCCCCGCCATTCCCCTCTCTCCATCTGTATGCGTAACCTGACGCCGCCGTCGCCTCCCTCTTCGTCTCCTCCTCCTCCTCGATGGGCATGGGCGTGAGAGGCGGTGGGGGAGGGGCCAGCGGCAGCGGCGGCGGCGGCGGCGGCGAGAGGTGGAGGTGGATCCTGTTCTTCGCGATGGTGTCTGTCTTCTTCCTCCTCTCCCTCCTCCTCCTCCTCTTCTCCTCCTCCCCGCCGCGCCTCCGCCTCCCGGGCCCCGCCGCCGCCGCCCCGTCCCTCGCCGACGACCTGCGCTGCGGCCACGGCGCGCCGCCTTGCCTCGCGTACCTCCTCGTGGGTGCCCGCGGCGACGGCGCGCGCCTCCTCAGGCTCCTCCTCGCGGTGTACCACCCGCGCAACCGCTACGTGCTCCACCTCTCCGCCGACGCCTCCGACTCCGAGCGCCGTGACCTCGCCGCCTGGGTCGCCGCCGCCACCCCCGCCGTGGGTGCGTTCCGGAACGTCGCCGTCGTGGGCGCGCCTACCGCCGGGACGCCCGTCGGCTCCTCCGGCCTCGCCGGCACGCTCCGCGCAGCCGCCGTGCTCCTCCGCCTCCACCCCGATTGGGATTGGTTCATCACCCTCAACGCCGCCGATTACCCCGTCGTCACCCAGGACGGTATGGTCATCCAAAAATATCTTCAGTTTTTTTTTCTTTCTCAGAATTTCTCGTCTCTATTTATATGGATCATATGTATTCAAGTCTCATTTCTGTCCAGTATCAATTCACCAAATGCTGCATTTGATTTGCATTGCCTTGTTTCATTTTGATCAGAATTGGCCACTTTAATTTCATCTATGTATCTATGGTAAAAATTAAAAGCTACTTTTACCAGCTACATTTGTATAGATTAACCACAATCAAATGGAGTGTCCAATTGTCCTTATTTGTATAGATTAACATCAACCGAATTTTAAACAAACAGGCAACAGCGGATATTTTGCTTAGGTCCTAGTGCCTTTTACTCACGCAGATCTTGTGTCATTTGGTTATTTGTTGCCACTTGCCAAGGTAGTAGGTAGAGCTTCATATGTTTATGCATTCCAAGTAAAATTGCATGTTAGAAGTAAATTCTGGCCCCTCTCATCAGTTTGTTTTGAACTTTTCTTGTCTCTAAAGTGAAATAGATAATGCACATGCCGGAACTAGTTTTGTGAAAAAGAAAAACGATAGGGTATCACTGAGCGACTAACAGGAATACGTATGAGTAGTTAGAGCCATGAGGATGGTTTGGAAATCATGTTAATATATGTATGCATTTACCTTTATAATATGGGGGTTCTGAATTCATAGTCGTGTACTCTTCAATAATACCACATCCATTCATGAAACAAGTCAGGATTTGCCATCCATTTCTTTTGGCATTTGAGGATTTGAAATTCTTCCTTGTCTGCTCAAAAGACAGAAAGATTGATCTGTGAAACTCTTCACAGCTCACGACTTATCAAGAACATTTCACAGTTGTATTACAAGCATGTGTTCCTTTTACTCTCATTTTTAAGCAAGTGGACATACTTTTATGCAAGTTTGTTCTGATCATGGCATTCTTATACCTTTTGTCCTATTGCAGACTTGATTTATGTCTTATCAAATGTTTCAAGACAGTTTAACTTCGTTGATCACACCAGTGACATTGGACAGAAAGAGTATGGATTATCTGAATTAGAAAGAATTCTTTATTCTAATAGTACTAGTTTTGAATTTTTTTTTACTTCAGGTCAGAGAAGGTTCAATCGATGATAGTGGATGCAGGAATTTACTTGGCCGGGAGGACCAACTTTTTCCGAGCTTCAGAGAAACGGCCAACACCTGATGCTTTTAAGTTCTTCACAGGCATTTCCTGCTGTCTGTGCTTTTGTTTTGGTTCGTGGGATAGTTTGCTCACCCATGATCTATGTTTCCTTGATAGGTTCTCCATGGGTTATTCTGAACCGGCAGTTTATAGAGTACTGCATTCTTGGTTGGGAGAATCTTCCTCGGATTCTTCTTATGTACTTCAACAACATTATGCTACCTCAGGAAGGATACTTCCACTCAGTCATATGCAACTCACTTGAATTCCGAAATTTCACTGTGAACAATGACCTGAGGTACAAAGCGTGGGACAATCCACCTCAGACAGAACCTGTTTTCCTGGACATGACACATTATGACAAGATGGTGGATAGCGGGGCACCTTTTGCAAGGCGTTTTCGTGAGAACGAGTCGTTGCTGGATAAGATTGACGGTAACGTACTTGGGCGTTGGGGTCATGGGCCTGTTCCTGGTGCCTGGTGCTCAGGCAGGAAGAGCTGGTTCAGCGACCCATGTTCCCAGTGGAGTGATGTGAACATCGTCAGGCCTGGACCTCAAGGCATCAAGCTCCGTCAATATATAAATCGGGCTTTAGAAGGAGGAGAATTTGGCAGCAAATCATGCAGGAGGTAATGATCCCATGGTTGAGAACTCTGAGCCTTTTCCATTTCTCTACTGAAGGTCTCTCCATTCTACAGAATAAGCAGTGTTTTTTCATTGATCTGAAATGAACAAACTGCAGCTGAAAAGATGTGCACAGATATATAGCTGTGGTCTTATGGAGTGCTGGGGTAATCTTTCTGAACATTTTTGTGGTCACTATCATAATCTTGGCTCAAGAATTTCACTTTCAGCAAGTTCATTTCTGACTCCTCAATGACACTGAAGGCAGAGCTGAGAGCAAGCAGTAACCGAAGCTTATAGTTATAAACAGTGCAATTAACCTGTATAGTATTTTTATATGAGTTAAAATGGTTCTGTCCTTTAGCTCATCTGCTGAAAAAAATTGTGCGCTGCTCTTACATATTGATAGAATGGCAGCATCGAAGAGAAAAAAGAAAGATAAGACACGGGATCTTGTTGATCTGATTGTCTTTGATGCTATGTTTACTAATACTATTTACAAACTTTATGATGCCTATGAAAAGATTGATTGTGCACATTATATTATAAACCCATCTCGCTGGTCTTGTTTGACTTCACTATATTGTTCATCTTGATGAAAGAGAGGCCATGAAAGAAGATAAAAACATGCCACTCCCTCTGTCCCAACATACAATAATTTATAAAGTTTAAATTTTATCCAAAATACAACAACCTAATACTCATAAATCTGTATTTTAGAATTTTTTAGAAAATAAAAGTGTTTTTTGTCACTAAACTACCTACCCTGAACCCCCCCCCCCTCCCCCCCAAAAGAAAAAAAGAAAGCAACCAAATCATTTTGCCCTTCTTAAGGGCAAGTACTACAGGAGCAAAAGTTTAATAGTATAGCCAACTACTAGATCCAAATTATCTATTATCAATTTAATAGCCGATATATATAATAGTCACACATGAACATATACTACACTATTGATACCTAGTCTCACCTGTCATACACACATTGCGTCTTGCAGTCTGTGCTACAGCTAGCTACAAATCTGTAGTCCGCGGCTCTTCTCTCTTCTCTTTTTATCTTCTCGATATTTGTTTATAGCTGGCTTATAGTCTGCTATTGTATCTGATCTAAAGTTTTAAGCACAAACTCCAAAGTGCCATATATGCTTAAATGATGATGTGGATGAGAGAAGAGAAGAGAGAGAGAGAGGAGGAGGAGTTACCTCTCATGTAAGGGGCAACCTCCACACAAATTTCAAGAACAAAAGAAAATGAGAATGGTTGATTGGTGGCAAATGTATTGGGACTAGTATACTATAAATGCAATGCATTTATATAAGTTAGTTTTAATTTTATGGATGGATGATTTGGATAAAATTGGAAGTGATCATCACCTCTATTATAAAACTTGCCCTAATACCCATGAAGGTTAAAATTTGCTATACCTACTCATATGCACTTAGAGCAGGTACAATAGTATACTATTAGCCAGCTACAAATATATTTTAATGAGATAAAAGATAAGAGAGAAAAGCAGCGGGCTACAGATCTATAGCCAGCTACAGCATGGATTCCAAGACACAATGTGTGTATGACAGGTAGGACCATATGCTAGTAGTATAGTAAGCATTATTGTATGAATTGACTATTAGATTGGCTATAGATGAATTGGAGCTAGTAGTGGGCTATACTATTAAACTTGCTCTTATGTTGTAATGGGATACGGGGAATGGGGTCCAATATTTTCTACCTAGAACTGGGTTCGGGAACGTGGTTCAAAATTTTTTCTCGATTAGTTGTTCCATAAAATTTAATGAGGGAAGGAAATGAGGATGGCCGTGCTTTTAAAGTAAGAGAGCTTTTACTTGTCTGTGTTTTGCAATGGAATCGGAGATAGAAATATGATCCAATTTTTTCAAGGCTGGTTTTCCATGATGTCTTTTTTTTCTTTAGTAAAAAAATTGGAGCGTATTTTAAAAGGGAGGGACCGGTTTTTTTTAAGGGGAAGGAGGGCAGCTGTGATTTTAAAATAGTTTAGAAAAATTGAGGTTTTGTATACAAACCATTCGGTTCACCATCAATTTTGTAGCTACATGTAACAAACAAATTATAGAACGATATAATAATTTTGAGGCAAAATGTATTTTATTTTGAATACTCACAGTATTTTTTCATAGTACTCCAGTTCAGAATATATAGCGATGGAACCAACCCATCTGATGTCAACTACTAAATTTAATACTAATGCTCGGCTTTACTGTTGATTATTTTTCGATGGTATGCGATGTAACCGTCAATAACAAGATATACCCATGACGTCTTCACCAATCTTAAGACATATCGACCTAATCTTTCGAAAATGCTTATAGATTATGCATATGTATGTTAATAGAGATAAGTTTGCCTGCATGGCGAGCGCCTCTATTATAGTTTGTTTCTTAGGGGGTGTATAGATCCCGAGCCCTAGGGTGTAATAAATTTTGACGTGTCACATCGGATATTAGATAGGGTGTCGCAGGAGTGTCCGGACACTAATAAAAAAACTAATTATAGAATCTGTCAGTAAACCGCGAGACGAATTTATTAAGCTTAATTAATCCGTCGTTAGCAAATATTTACTGTAGCACCATATTGTCAAATCATGAAGCAATTAGGCTTAAAAGATTCGTCTCGTAAATTAGTCGCAATCTGTGCAATTAATTATTTTTTTAGTTTATATTTAATACTTCATGTAGGTGTTCAAACATTCGATATGTTAGAGTGAAAAATTTTAGGGTGGGATCTCCGCATAGCCTTAAAAAAAAAAGACAGAATGCCTGTATTCCATGACACGTCATATTTTTGTGTCCGAGAGGATTCCGGTCAGGAAGTCTGACCGTCAGACAGAAGGCGATGAGGCTCGCGAGGATTCTGCCCATGGCGGCCTCCTCTTCCAGCTCGAAGCGGCGAGCCATGGGCATGGCGGCGTCGGACCAAGGTGACACCTCCGCCCACGCCATGAAGAAGCCTCGCGTCCGTGTCGCGCCGGATTCCTCAGCTTCGGAGGATGACACCGACGAGGACCATGGCCATGACGAAGGCGACGGCGGCGAGGAGGAGGAGGAAGAAGAAGAACCTGACGGTGATGGCGAGGAGGAGAGCCAGAGTTATCAAGATCCTTTGGAGTCTGATGGCGATGGTGTGGACGAAGAGGCAAGCGCCGGCGACATGGCTGCCTCCGAGCCGGCGGCGCCGTCGACACGCGCGGCGGTGGCGGGCGTGACGGTGGAGGACGCCGACGCGCTCGAGTGCGGCGTGTGCTTCCTCCTGCTGAGGCCGCCCATCTTCCAGTGCGAGGTGGGCCACGTCGTGTGCGCGCCGTGCCGCGACACGCTGGCGCCGGCGGGCAGGTGCTACGTCTGCCGCGTCGCCGTCGCCGGCGGCGAGTACCGGCGCTGCTACGCGCTGGAGCGCCTGGTGGACGCCATCCGCGTCGCGTGCCCGCACGCCGCCCACGGCTGCGCCGCCAGGCCGGCCTACCACGACGTCGAGGCGCACCGCCTCGCGTGCCCGCACGGGCCTTGCCACTGCCCCGGCGAGCGCTGCGGCTTCGTCGGCTCGACCGCCGCGCTCCTCGACCACTTCGCCGCCACGCACAACTGGCCGTGCACCACCAACGTCAGGGCCCGCGAGGTGTTCGACGTCCGCCTCCACGACGGCTTCAACTTCCTCGTCGTCGGCGGCGCCTCGCGCCACCACCTGGTCATGATGAACATGACGCGGGAGCCGCTCGGCCGCGCCATCACCGTGCTCCGCATACACCCGCACGCCACGGGCAGAATCCAGTGCGAGCTCTCGCTCTCGCGCCATGTCGTCCTTGGCGACAGCTGGGGCCTCTATCGCAGCCACTACCAGAAGTCCGTGTTCGACGTAGGTTGCAGCGACCTCGCCGATGGATTGCCGGATGCAAAGCAGTGCTTCCAGTTCGTCGTGCCAAGATGCGTCGCCGGAGACGACGACGAAGGTGGCACCGGCATCCGAATCAATGTCCTAATTACCGTCGACTAGAGCTACACTATCATCAGTTAATGTTGCTGTGATTTTCATCATTTTGTTACTAGCTTGGAGTCCATGTGATGGGATTGAGCTTAGTGCTTAATTATTTTATGTACCTGACATTGGGAGTATGCAACAGTCAGTGTGCTGTTTTCTGAAACTAAAAAGATTTCAAACATTATGGTGCTGTTTGATCCTTCTTCGGATTCATCCTTCATATTAACTGCATTTGAAAAACGCCTGGGGTCTTCCGGCTAAAGTGGTGAGTCGAAGCCTCACATCTTCTATTTATACTAGAAAAAAAAATATCCGTACGTTGCAATGGTGAAGGTTATTTTAATTTCATTATTGTTATATGGTTTAGTTAAGGTGAAATTCACTGTGAGAATTCGCTTGTATATATATATTTTTACAAAATCATGAGATGCGGTTAGGAGTCTGATCGTCTAAGTTACCATGCGAGTTTTTTAAAAGAAATTTTTTATATAACTCCTATATTTTCAAAAGTGAACAAACTTAAAAACCGAATCAAATACGGATATATATTTCCAAAAGCGAACAAACATAAAAATCGACTCATACACGAACGACGTACCAAAGTATTGGTAAAAATATCTTCAATTTTTATAATACAAAATCTGTATTATACTCCTTCCGTCCCATAATATAAGGGAATTAGACTTTTTGTTTGCATTGTTTGACCATTCGTCTTATTCAAAAAATTTTGGAATTATTATTTATTTTATTTGTGACTTACTTTATTATCCAAAGTACTTTAAGCACAACTTTTCATTTTTTATATTTGCACAAATTTTTTCAATAAGATGGGTGGTCAAACAGTGTTATAAATCTGTATTACCAAAGCCGTTCAATACAAATCTGTATTTGAGTCGGGTTTTAAGTTCGTTCGCTTTTGGAAATACGGGAGCAGTCATATAAAAAATCTCTTTAAAAAAACTTACATACTAACTTGAGATGATCAGACTGCTAATTACGGCTCATAAAAAAAATATATATTCAAACGAATTCTCACAATGAATTTCATCTTAACTAAACCGTATAACAATAATAGAATTAAAATAGCCTTCACCCGTTGCAACGCACGGATATTTTTTCTAGTTGAGTAAAAATAGCAAGCTGTTGGCCTCCTTGACAGTTTCATCATCAGTACTTATATCTATCTAGATTCATTAACATCAATATTAATGTGAAAAATGCTAGAATGATTTACATTGTGAAACGGAGGAAGTAGGAATTAATTAAGCTAGGTAGAGCAGCATATATATATGTATATATATATATATATATATATATATATATATATATATATATACATACATATATATATATATATGTGTGTGTGTGTGTATGTACACACACACTCAGAATTCGAAGAGGCTCGCCGGCGAAGCAGCTGCAGGTGGAAGGCGGCAGAGATGGCCTCCACCGCTCCGGTCGGCGAGGCATGTCAGCGTCGGCTAGCGTTAGGGAGAACGGAGAGGGTTCGCATGCCGCCGCCGCCGCCGCCGCCACCGCCACC